TTTTAAAAACTCCATGGATGGTTTCCCCCACCCGCTTTATTTCCAGAGCGAGCTGACACATAGTTTAGGCCAAGTTCGGGACTCTGAACGAGATGTCTGGTCCCAGCGCTTCGACAGGGCCCGTAAGGGGGTTCAGACAGGTCCCCCCCTGCTCACCCTGGCCAGGGTTTTCCCGAAGATGCACATTTTGGACTGAACTCACAGATCCCCCCCCAGTCGGGCTGAAAGGAGGGAGAGTGAAAGGAGATTTATATTCCAGCTCCTCTCTCCCCTCAAAGTGCAAGCCCTGGAAGGCACAATTTCGTGCTCCGGTTTCACAGATTTTTGCCGTGTGGTTTCGCTCTGACCTTCGGATTCATGAATTAAAGTCCAGGAGACAGCAACCTTCAGACTCCCCCGCGCTGCCGCTCTGTAAGGATCGTCTTCTCTTGTGTTTTGATTTTTTGCCAAGGCATTTATTACCGTAGAACAAAAATACACCACGGGACTTATTCTGTCTTGACAGTCAGTATTTTTATTTTGTTTTTCTAAAAATGAGTGAATGAAAGAAGGAGACGCGACAAGAAATTGCATTTAAAACCCGCCATTCTCTGCCTCCAGGTTAAATTGTGACCCTCTCGCTCCCCCATCCACGACACAGTTTCCAAAACTGACGATAAAACTGCACATTTATGGATGTTTAAACCGGATGGGAACGAGCTAATTCATAAGTGACCCGAAAGACAATGTGCGCAATACAAAACGATCGGGAGAAAATTACTCAGCGGTAGATTTTAGACCTGTTCCTTATTCCGAGACGCAGACAATGGAAATTACTGGGAGTTTTCGGTCCCTATTTAAACCTGGTCGTGAATGTACACTTTAACAAAATCGAGGCGAACTGCAGCTATTTCGTCTAGTTTTTGTACGCACTCGGAAGAGGTTTAATTAATTAATTAATTAATTAAAGCCCAAGCCGGCGGCGTGAGTAATCCCTCTACGAAACCGTGCCTCTATTGCGATAACCGCTAAGAGTGGCATTAAAGGTCTTAACTAAAACAAAAATGTCGTGAGGGCTTCCCCGGGGCTGCGCGGCCGTT